AAAAAAAAAAAAAAAAAAGATTCTAAGTCGCATAGTCTAGACTTGCAAAGCAAATTCAAGGATGCTTACATGGTTAATTAACAATCTTGTTGCTAAACAATTAGGGCAAACCTACTGAGACCTACTTTTTTTGTGATCAGTAATGATACTTGTGATTATTTTGATCATATGGGGTGGTGGAGACACTTTCAGGAAAAATTAAGACTTTGGAACAGCAAAAAATATTACTAGTGTCCAGTTTAGTGATCTTTCTGGGTTACTGGAGATTTTCATTGTCTTTGAGCTATTTTATAATTCTGTAGCTTGAGAAAAACTTACAGAAATGCTTATGATTCTTTTATTGTGTGTGTGTAAAGACAGAGACTCACTCTGTCCGCCAAACTCGAGAGTATATAAGCCCCCTTGAATTTGTTTTGCAAGTCTAGAGCCAAGCAGCTTTAGAATCTTTCAAACTTATTAGCAATACTGTATGTACTCCAGTAGTGTGATCACAGCTCACTGCAGCCTCGAACTCTTGGGCTTAAGTGATCCTTCCAGCTCAGCCTTCCGAGTAGCTGGGACTCCAGGTGTGTACCACCATTCCTGGCTAATTTTTAAATTTTTTGTAGAGATGGAGTCTCACTATGTAGCCCAGGCTGGTCTTGAACTCTAGGGCTCAAGCATTTCTTCTGTCTTGGCCTCCCAAAGTGCTGGACTACATGGGGCTTGCCCTCCAAAAAATAATTCTGAGCTTTCTTGGGTCTCCCTCTTATTTTTTTTTTATTTTTTAAGTTTTACTCTCTGTGTTGTAAGATACTTATACTAAGCCTTCAATTTACTAGGAAGGAGATTTTAGGAACTGAGGCTTCTCACAGTTTTCCTTAGGAGCTAATTGTCCTTCCTACCTCCTTGAGTGAGAATAAGATGATACAGGAACCAGGAAGAAAGAGATAAAACATACATGCAGCAAACTCCTGCCGACCAACAAGTTCTAGTTCCACAAAGAATTCCAGGGTACCTTAGTAGCCGAAAAATATAGCATAAAAGATAGAACATCTAAGGCTGGGCACCTTAGCATCTGCCTGAAATCCCAACTATTTGGAAGGCTGAGGCAGAAGGATCACCTGAGTCCGGCAGGTCAAGGTTGCGGTGGCTGTCAACATGCCACTGCACTCCAGCCTGAGCAACAGAGTAAGACTGACTCAAAAAACATAAACAAAGGAACAAAAAAAGACAAACTTTATTTCTGCCAAATAGGTATTATCCCACAATTAAATTAATTAGGAATTAAGATAAATTATACATGAAACAACCTCTATAAAGAACAAACAACATTTTAATAGTCCTGATTTCATGGTTTGCTCTTGTGATGCTGAGAATACTGCAGGCAGGATGATGGTAATGAAAACAGTCACGCTGCAAATTACTTCTCATAGCTCTGCTACACTGCGGACCTCACTCAGTGCCTAGCCATTGTGCTCTCAGGGGAAGTCTGCAGCAGTTTGTTCTACCTGAAGCTAAAGACTTCTGGAGACCTTGAGGCAACACTGATCCAGCAATCTGTCTGCCTACCCACACTTCTCCACTTTCACTCCTGGATGTAATGTGAGATTCTTTTTCTTGGGGTGGTTATGGCATCTACAGTTCTATTCCCAAACACTCTATCACGAAAGTTCGTGAATGAAAGGCAGGCAGGCAGGCAGGCATCCTCTGTCCAGGCTACTAAATTCTGACATCTGCTCTCAGAGCCAATAGGCTCATTGCTCAAAGAGTTAAGTTATAAGATTGGACAATTTTATACCTAGAGAGGACAGAGACCAAGAACAATCATCTATATATATGATATCATATTTATATATATGATATCTAGCTTAAAATAAATTAAGTTCTTGGAAAATAAGAATTTTAGTAAAAACTACTATTATGACAATATTATAATTTTTCAGTTTAGTTATTACTATGAAATAAAAGAAAACACAGAATGGGATTATAGGCTGGCAAAACATTTTATAATCTGAAATATTTTTGAGCCAAAATATAAGGTTGGTTATTGTAGTAAAGAATATTTTGCTTTTATAACATTATTTATGACCCGATAGCCATTATTAGCTAACACATTTCATTAAGATATATAAACTTAATAATACTTAGATATTCAAATTCAGGTTTTTATAGGAATAAGTATATACTATGTACAAATACATTTAATCCTATATAATTATATATGTATGTGGTGTGTATATAATTTTCATCATTATTGTTATTATTACTTATTTTTGTAAAGAGGGGCAAAAGGAATGCCCAACCTTCTCTCTCCCCTATGGAGGAGGAGAGCTAAGTGTCCGTGGTAAGGTTTGGAATATATGGTAAAGGAGTTGATTAGCTCTGGGAAGAACTAAGTAGAAGGGATCTTGGACCTTTACTTTGGGGGTAAATATCACCTTTAAAGGAAAGGATAAATATCACATATAAAGTATATGGTAATTGTGTGAAAAGCAAACCAGAAGTCTCCAAGGGAAGAGCAAAAGCCTTTCTACAAGCTGTGGGGTTCTCCAGGCTGCTCTTGATGTGAGCTCCCTGATGTACCCATACTGCACCTTAACTGACTATAAGCACAGCAGATACATTTTCACGAGTCTGATATTTTTCATACCTTTTCCCCCATGGATACACCCCCTGATGTGATGATGACATCAGCACGACTGATACCCTCATTCAAGGCATTGAGTAAGTCATCTGGGCTGGAAAAAAATAAAGACAGTTAAATTAACACACAGGGGAAAGATTTTAGATATGGTGTCAACTTAACACTAAACCCCTTATTCACCGAACAGGCATCTCCATTACTATAGCACTATATTCTGTATAAAGTGGGAATCAATAGTCACATAGCTCTTATTTTGAAGAAGGGACCTTGTAAGTGCTGAAAAATGGCTACTGGTACTTTCACTGAGTTTTTTGCCTAACAAAGCAATACAATGAGGGGAGACAATGAGGTATTGAAGAACATCTAACTATCCTGGTTTGCCTAGGAATGTCCCTGTTTTAGTACTAAAAGTTAGATGTCCTAGGAAACCTCAGGCAAACCAGGACAGTTGGTTACCCTAGGTGCTGGAAAAATTACAAAGGATTCCTTAGAGGGAATGACTTAAGTGAGGCCCTGAGAAATGACTGGATTCCAAGAGATAGAAGGGAATGGGAGAAAGTTTTGTTAAGCAAGAGATCTATCCTGGCAAAGACTTTGAATTGAGATTAAGCCTAGTGGTGTTTCTAGATCAGTGTGGAAAAGGGCCTGCTTACAGTGAAGGGCTTGACTGGGAATGACTGGGATAGATAGGATGGGTCATAATTTTGGAGGGCCTTCAGGCTCAACAAGTTAGATTTCATCTAATAGAAAACGAGGTGGGTCTCTAGAAATATGAAGAACCCGTGGGTGTTTTTTGAGAAAAGAAAAGGTAGGGAAAAATGACAAGAAAGGCAGAGTCCATAAGAAATATCTGGAAGGGGTATGTTCTGAGAGAGTAAAAGTGCATAATGAATATTAGTGATTGAAACTAGGCAGGTTCCCGACTGTTCCTTGAAGAGCCAAGTGCACTAGGCCCTTGGATGGCACGGGTCAGAGGCCTGGGGAGAAGAGATGAAGAGAAATCAAGGGTCTTATCCTTTGGATGTTCGGAGGGTTGCCAAGGCCTAATTTGAGACTGATCAAGAGAAAATAAAAAAAATGCCAAGCATCAGGACTTATGAAGGGACAAGATGGCAGGGAGCAGCTAAAAGGGATTGATTAGTTACTACTGTAAATCCATACAAAGCTACTGAGGAAGGTGACCCACACTTGGAATTTCCCCTGAACTGATGCAGTACAGAAGAGATGACTTTTGAGGAGTCAGTGTTCTGCCCACAACCTTGTTTTCTGAGAAATTCTTACCTAAGGAGGAGGAGAATGTTTCTCTTTCTACTACCTGATGCTTCTTTTCCCTCTTCCCCCTTCCCCGTATCGAACATGAACAATTAAAAAGGGAGCAGTCCTGGCTTCCGATTTTCTAGTTCCTCTTTTAGTCCCTTCTTTGAGGCCCAGCTGTGTTTTTGCTTGTAGAGTCCACAAGACAACCTGATATCCTCCCATAAATCTCTCCCTGGCTTACATGAGCTTCAGCAGGTTTTTGTCAACTTAAAACCAAATGATCGCTTGATAAGACAGCATATGTCCCCATAAATATCTCATGATAGTCAAGTTTATTCATATTCCTTTCCCTTAATGCACTACTTGATGAGAGAGGAAGAAGAAAAGTTAGAGATTCCTGATGGCATGATCTATAACTAGGGCATCATTTCACTTTTTATTCAGGTATGACAGAAGTAAGGAGAAGAACTTGAGACCTATCACAGACACAACCTTCACAGGAGTTGTAAGAGATAAGGTGGGTAGGAGGTGGCACAGCACAGAGACTAAGAATGTGAACTCTGGAGTCAGACTGCCTGAGCTGAAACCCTGGTGTCACCACTTGCTAGAAATATAACTTTGGGCAAATTGTTTAACTTCTCTTTGCCTTAATTTTCTATCTGTGAAGTAGGGATAAGAGGGTTGTTAAGAGAATTAAATGCCATAATGCATATAAAATACATGGATTAGTACCTGGAAAACTAGGTTTTCAAGAAAGGTTATTTGTCATTATTAGCTACTGTGCTAACAGAAGTTAATCATACAAACATACCTAACAACCTAGCAAAGTTCAACTTTAGCATGCTTGGCGAATTTTTCTGCAGAATATACCTGACCAACACATAATAAAGTCATAGACAAGGATGTAAATGCATTCTCAGAGCTGCATGTGAGAGGTCCAAATGGCAAGATAGGCCTAGCTTACCAGGAAGCTCTCTTGGAGCATCTGGATACAGTTCTCCTTTCTCTCTAGCACTGGCCTGTCCATGAATGTCCTGGGATTGCTCTGGCTCTGGGAAGCAAACTTTCAAAGAGAAGGGCCAAACTAAGTGGAAACTGGGTCATGTGAAGTTCGGCTTACCAATGCTTACCTTTAAAGTCATTCAATTAATTGCTTAGGCAGCCAAAAACGTACCCAGGTATTAATTGAAGGTAGAATCTATGTGTTAGACACTTAAACATTTAAAAAAATCCCTGACATGAATTTTGAAGTCAAACTGGTTGGACAAACATCTAAGAAGAATTATAGTGAATAATGGGTATATTTATAGTACTTTTGAACTAAATGTTCTGAACAGATTTCTCATCAATACTTTTCATCTTGATTTAGTGAAAAAGTACATTATTCTGTTGGCTGAAATACTATATACTATGCACGTGACAGGTTCTTGATGCCCAGGTTTTGGGCTTCCTACCTCACTGGATCATGTTATCACTTTGCTGAGCCAAATGGCTGACCTATCTAGTAAATGGGAAAAACGCCACCAATACAGCATTATGTGGAATGTGGTTCAGGTGAATGAATAAGAAATATTATCAACCAAATACAATTTTGTGCTAATATAAATAGATATTAGCTAATTTTGCCAATCTTATAACATGTTAACTCTACAGAATTGTTGTAAAGCCACTGATTATAAACAAAGCAGCGATGACGCCGTAATATTCCAATATTTACATCGTCACGGCATTGATCTTTGTGGGTGGATAAAGATCCTGGGACAGGCTAGCTGGTGACTAAAAAAAAAAAAAAAAATTCTTAGTGCTTCTTTTACTTCTTACTCATTGTTTTCATATTCTCTGGGAAACACTTTTTTCTGTTTTGTAAAACTGCAGAGTCATCAGCTGTCCACATGAAATTTTCTACAAACTCTGACTTCTCATTAAGTGTTTGTTCTACCCTCTGCCTAATCAGAATTGATTGTGTGTGCTTTTTACTTTCTACTAAAAAAGTAAAAAGTGATTTTGTTCTACTTCCTTACTGTAATTTGGCACGTTTCAAAGAATATGCTCAATGCTACTTTCTATTCTGTGTATAGTAGATTAACAAAATCATTGAATCTCAAAGGAGGAAAGGCTGTCTTGTCCAGCATCACAGCTGGGCCTGTTATTTGGGTCCTGCCCTTCTCTATCTCCCTGTCCTTTCTCTCAGACTCTACTTTCTGTTGCACACTTTTGGTGTTTGATGATCTGGTCAGGCAACGTGGCTTACTAGAGAGACAGGTACCAATGTATGACAACAGTCGGAGAATCTATAACTTCATTTATGTTACATGCTATAACTCCATTTATTACCACACAATAAATCTATAAGGCAGACTGAACAGGTATCATTTTACCCATTTTAAAAAAAGATAAGTGATATTCAGAGAGACAAAGTAGCATGCTAAAGTCTGGATAGAGCAGTAAGTGGCAGAGCTGGGACTACAAACTCTGGCTTCTCATTAAGTGCTTGTTCTACCCCCTGCCCAATCAGAATTGATTGTGTGTGTTTTTCTCTTTCAGGTATATGACATGTCACAGAAGAAGATTCTCATGAGAATGGATCCTTATGCAAAAGCATCAGAAATAGAGGATGCTGGCTGGGTGTGGTGGCATGTCTGTAGTCTCAGCTACTTAGGAAACTGAGGAAGATCATTTGAGCCCAGAAGTTCCAGGCTGCAGTGAGCTATGATTGTGCCTGTGAATGGCCACTGCACTTCAGCCTGGAAGACATGGATATCCCGTGTCTTAAAAACAACAACAACAGAGGATGCTGAGGTAACAGGTATGGAATTGTCTGGCATGACAAACAGAAGACTGCATGTATAGACATGTTAATATAGTTCAGGGGAATGAAATGAGTAAGATTCTGAATCCCTTATTGAGACAGAAACTAAGATTTTGATTAAATATAATTTAGGAGTTTGTTTATAAATCATACATTTGCTTTTTTATGATTCACATTATATTTTAAATGATAGCACATTTCCAGCATAATAGTGTAACAGATACCCATGTATCCATCTCCTTAGATAGAACAAATGCTAATATTCCAATATTTGCATAGTGTTCCCTCTCCTGGACTTTTTTTTTAATAAATAAAAACTGAGTTTGATGTCTAGGACTAAAAGATTACTTTGAATAATGATAAGAGGAAATAGGCATTAAGGATTATAATCATGAGTACGATAGTAGAAAGAAAACAGTTCATGATTTTATCAGTTTTGTTAAAGACAACATTTTCTCTATATTTTCAAAGATAGGAGACTAAAATTGTAAAACGTTATACTCTGATATATTTAAGACATAACTTCCTACATATAAGATCAATTGATACTTAAGAAATAAAATTAATAACAATAATACTCATGCTTTAAAGGACATATATTTCCATACCTATGTGTTAATCTTACAACTCTGTGAGGTGGGCAGGACAAGAGAGGACACTGAGGTTCACATAGATAGTGACGGTTAAAGGTCATCCTGTTTTTCCTACACTTCTTAAAACTATAGTAATATTTGCAAACTTTGTTCATCCTGTTTTTCCTACACTTCTTAAAACTATAGTAATATTTGCAAACACCTTCAAATAAAAGCTATTTATCATTACTTATCTAAGTATATCTCTTATTGCCAAATACTGATGATAGAAACAAATTTTGTACTTTTAATTAAATTAAATTAATTTATTTTTATTTTTGAGTTGGGGTCTCACCCAGGCTGGAGCGTGGTGGCATAATCACAGCCCACTGCAGCCTCAACCACCAGGGCTCAGGTGATCCTTGCACCTCAGCCTCCCGAGTAGCTGGAGCTACA